CTGCTAAAACTGAGTCAGGCAAACACAGTGAACTTAATGCCAGCGCAGAAGTGCTATTAATGCATTAACAGCTTCAATAAATACATTTTACAGGTGTGACAATCCCTATGTCAGCCAATCGGAAAAATATCTATTTCCTACTCAAAAATAAGATTTCTGGGCCATTACTATTTTTCCTGTAGATTTGGGGTTTTATTAAGGCACAGAAAGCAGTTGCCTCGTTTTATTTTTGTTTTATGAACTAAGCAGGAAACCCTCAGAATCAACACTTATTTTTTGCTAACAGCATTTATCATTTCAGCAGAAAAACAGCACCAAAAACCCAGAAAGCAGCAGACTCACTCCCCTCCAGAGCTTCAAATCCCAGCTCCTGGGAGGAACCCTGACTCAGCCCAAAACACTGCAGAGGGGAATCGGGAAGATGTGAAAATAATCGAGGTTGTAGCATCAGCTGGCAGCATTTTGGGTTCAGGTGGGGCAGAGGAAGGTCTCTGCGCCCAGCTGAGCGAAATCCTCCGCTGGGATGGGATTCTGGAGGATGCAGAGGCAGAGAGGGAGAGGCTGCGTGTTTATAGGGTGAACAGGAGGAAAAGGTATGAATTGTATATCCAGCAGCACGTCCCAGCTGCCAGGAATTCCCCACCCCTCCACGGCAGCAGCAGGTGAAGGAGATTCCTGCAGTTCGTTATCTGGAAGAGCAAAAATTCCTGATTGCTGATTGAGGAATTGCTGTGAAATGAATGCTGCAGGAGCCTCTGAGCTGCACCAGGGGTGTCACCCAAAATCCCAACAATTTCTGTATCTTAGCAGTGGTTCCTCACTGTGTTTGTGTGGAGGAAAGGACATTTTTATTTTAAAAAACAACCCAACCTGTTAAAATATGGACACAACTCAGACTGCATCAACAATTAGAAGTGCTCCGTTCCACACTGTGTTTGTGCTAATTATTGCTGTTGGTTTATTTCCAAATAATACTCCTAAACTTTCCAGGCATTCACGTTGTACATCACAGATTTGTGAGCAAAAGAAGAACCAGACTCCTTGTTTAGAGGCTGAAATTATTTCCAGGCACATGAACTTACCTTCCCTGAAACTGGGCGAGCTGCAAAGTCAGCATGAGAATCCTGCCCTCACCTCCTGGCTTTCGATCCAATTGTTAGGCTGAGTGTTTTATTTTGTAATCCAAATTGGTTCTCTCAGACCCTCAGATGTGACATCCTGGAGAAGCACACGTGAAAGGGAAACAGCACATGCAGAACAACAGGGTTTCCTTGGAATTGTGGGTGCTAATTAGAAACTCGTTGGGCCAATATGAATTAAAAATCACATGGTACAGCCTTGTACTCGCCTACTTCACATTTTTATAGTAAAAGAATGTTTTTCATACAGAGTGTCGTGCCAGTACTTAAGGAGAACAGCCCAGCCCTCACTACAGGAAGCATTTCAAAGTTAGGTGACATCTGAAAGCCTCCCTGAACTCCCCTGCAAGACACTGTGCTGACTTGTAAAGTTTTTTCTTAATGGCTTTTTTAATCGACCCTTTTATACAGAATTGATGTTTATAAGTGGCTTTTCTCCTGTTTAATACTTCAAAACTCCAGGATACCCAAAAGCTCTCAGAGCCTTTTGCTGGAAGCAGCAGCTTTGGAGCAGCTCCATGGCTCCCCAGACCCCAATAATGTCATTACATGCAACTCTAGAGCTTCCACAAGCACATAACCAGATGAACAATAAAAAGTGAGCAAAAAATCCCATTAGGAATTAATTAACTGATGTTCAATTACATCCATTCCTGCTCTGCCAGAGTCACTAACAAAATCAGCACGCCTGCAAAATGTGGAAAGGTTAAAAGAACAGATTAAGCATCCAGAAAACCACCACAGCATTTCTCTCGACACAATAGCTTCTAATCATCTCTTTTGGTTTTATAAGGTTTAATGCATAACACACTCTAATCTTATGTTTCTGCTGTGTTTACTAATGCAGCATTTGAGCATCTACATTTTAAAAATAAATTCCTCCTGGTTAAATACATGTTATATTTGAAAGGGATTAGTTCTTCACTTGGAGGATATGCTGAAATTCGTACCAGAAACTCTCTTTAAAAGTAAAACTGTACCAGATGAACGACTCAAACACATTAAGGAGAGGATTTTCAGCTGCCTTTAAAGAACTTTTTCAATGTCTTACTAAACTGACAAATCCACAACATTTGGTGTTGGTTTGGTTTTTAATATAGACAGTTTTATATAGGAAACACCCTCCTAGAATATGTAAATAAAAATAGAAGAGAAAGGAGGGGAGCTGGGATTGGCAGGAAATATTATGTATTTATTTCTAAGTAACTACCACAATAAACACTGAAAAGCTTTGAATGAGAAATAAAGAGACTTCCCTGCAGGATGGTTTTCAGATCATTTATTACCAATAAAGTAAAAGACAAATTGAAAATCAGAAGGAAGGGGTGGGAAACATCACAGACACCAGAACACTTGCACAGAGCTAATCAGAGCTTTGCAAATGTTGGAACATAAATAATTTAAAAGGTATCTCTACCAATTAAAACATTCTTAAGAGGTATACATTAAGTTTGCTTGCTTTATAAAAATCAGGTGCTTTATCCTAAAACCGGAGCGTGAGGGGTATTTTGTGGGTTATTTTGCTTCTAACTAGGAACAGCTAATGGCTACAATTTCAAACAACCTCCTCTTAGATCTGTTCCAAGTGGATTCCTTGGGAGAGCATTTGTGGGAGCAGTCCAGGGTCCGAGTTCTCCCAGGATCCGTGAGCAGCCGCCGCTGCGGGAGCGAGGGATGAGCGACCCGGCCCCGCAGAGCAGAGTGTGCAACCCCACGGGCTGTGGGGTGAGCTGGGCCTTCTGTTACACCACAAGGACATCCTGGGGCACAGCTGGGGACAATTGCATCACCTGGTTGAGACACATGTCCCCAGTCTTGCAGCCTGACACCAAAGCGTTCCAACTCCGGAGCGCTGCCCGCCCGCCCGTGTCCTCTCTCATCCTGGGATTGCTTTAGGAGCTGCCTTTCTGAGGCAAGTACCAAAGGTGAAGGATGTTCTTTTCTGAGCTAATAAATAAGTAAAAAAAAACCCAACAACAACAACAATAAAAAAACCCCCAAACCCTACAAACTCAAGGTTTCCTTCCTGCTGCACTCTTCATCTCCCAACTCCTTTCAGTTCCCTGGGATTCACTTCCACACCATCCATCACACTTGCACAAACACACGTTAAGCACAGCTCAGGAACAGCCTCCCGAGGCTGCCACTGACAAAACTCACCCCTGGGGCTGTGCTCTGCCAAGTCCTCTTTAAAAGCTGCTCCAGGACTGGTGTTTGCACACCCACACCTCGGGGGAGTTTTGGAATACGTGGAAAAGCCGTGTCCAGCTAAGTCAGGTCTGTCAGGTGTTTTTGAGACACTACACCACACAAAAACCAGCTCAACCCACGCTCCCCAAAGCAGATGCTCTCCACACTATGCTCTGTCAACAGGAAAAAAAAAAAAAATCTGGGAAAAGAAGGAAACCTCTCTGTCTTATTTTCATCAAGGCACACGATAAACGAACGCACGTAACATCCAGACAGACTTTCATAGTATCTGAAGCTATTCCCTTTGGTCCCCAAACTCATCATGCACTCAGGAGAGGTTTTCCAGCAGCCTGCAGACAGGCAGAGGCTGTCCCATCCCAGTGACATCCCTGATCCCCGGGACACGGATTTGTGCCATGACAAGCTCGGCGGGGAAGCAGAGCTGCAGCTCTGGATTTTGTTATGCATTACAAACCCGCCTGTCCCTTGCTACTTTTACCTCCTCCCAACCCCACCACAACAGTGTCTCACACCCAATCCAACACCTCCTTTGCCATTTTGGGTCTCTCTGACCAGCATTTTATCTGAATCTTGCTTTGGTTTACAGCTCCTTTAGTGCACACGGCCTGTGTGGACAAAAACAAGGCACTTGTGGTTTTCTACCTCCACATCACCAAGATCCAACAACACAGGGATAATTTCTAGTCTGGTATTCTCTTCTACAAGCCCTGCTGCAGGCACAGAAACACTTGTGTGACACCCAGAACACAGGTTCTTCATCACCCTAAGAACTGGAATCACAGCATCCTGTCTCTGCTGCCTGGAGCTGCAGAAGCAGCTCAACTCCCGCTCTGCTCAGAACCCCTCTTCTTCCCAATTTACACCTTCACACGAAATGTGAATGCCATGCGTTAACATTTTTGTACGTGTTAGATGCAGAATTCTGGGGTTTTGTCTGTTAGCCTTTTCCAGCAATTTCCAGGGGACGGTTCTTCTGGAGAAAACAGGATCTAAACTGAGATGGCCAAACCAGCTGGTGAATCTCTGCAGGAGGGCAAACCACCCTTACTTTTAGCACATCGCCACCAGCACCAAATGGATCTCCACCTGCCGGGCACCACCCCACACTCTTCCTTACCTGCCAACTTTCCCTCTGGGAAATCACTTCCCGTTATTTTCACCTGATTACCGCGGGGAAGGGGAGGGAACTCGCAGCTTTTGGAGGCCAAGTCCCTTGCTAAGTCACGTTCCCGCAGAAAACCGCGCTCGGGGCCGCCGTGACGCTTGGAAGCAGGAGCTGGGAGCTGAGAGAGAGGGTCTGTGGAGTTTGAGCACGTGGAGTCCGTGAGGGGCGGACCAGAGCGAGGGGGGCGAGGGTCAGCAGCCGTCCGGGCCGGCGCCGAGGCACTCGGAGGTGTCCAGCTCCACGCTGGAGAGGAACCGGCGGGCGGCCTTGCGGCAGTTGTAGTCCAGCGTGGTGGTGTAGACAGTCTTGGCGTGCTTCGGGTAGATGATGGTGGTGCTGGCGAAGCGGCGGGGCCGGTGGCGCGGCTCCAGGCGCACCTCGGCCTTGTAGCTGCGCCACGAGCAGTCGGGCACGCAGACCACGGTCTGGCTGCACCGGGCCACGCTCAGCCCCACGGGCAGGTAGACGCCGTCGATGAAGCGCTTCTCCGAGTCGTACCTCACCGAGGACGTGTACCTGCAGCGGGAAAGGCCGGGCTCGGGCTCAATAGGCAGGCACAGGCACGGGCTGGAAGGGATCTTTAGGGTCGAGGTGTCCAACCCAGCCCTACACCTCAACCAGACCACAGCACCCAGTGCCACCTCCAGGCTTGTTTTAAACACATCCAGGGATGGTGACTCCACCACCTCCCCAGGCAGACCATTCCACTGTTTTATCACCCTTCCTGTAAAAAACTTTTCCCTACATCCTATATCCTATATTCCTAACCTATATATATATATATCCTAACTTCTTCCTATATCCTATCACCCTTCCTCTAAAAAACTTTTTCCTATATCCTATATTCCTAACCTATATATATATCCTAACTTCTTCCTATATCCTATTACCCTTCCTGTAAAAAACCTTTCCCTATATCCTATATTCCTAACCTATATCCTACATCCTAACTTCTTCCTATATCCTATCACCCTTCCTGCAAAAAACTTTTTCCTATATCCTATATTCCTAACCTATATATATATCCTAACTTCTTCCTATATCCTATTACCCTTCCTGTAAAAAACCTTTTCCTATATCCTATATCCTAACTTCTTCCTATATCCTATCACCCTTCCTGCAAAAATCTTTTTCCTATATTTCCCTTGGCGCAGCTTGAGACGATATCCTCTCGTTCTGTCGGCTGCTGCTTGTAGAAGGAGACAAACCCCTGACTCCAGCCACCTTTCAGGGAGTTGTAGAGAGTGACAAGGTCACCCCTGAGTCTCCTTCTCTCCAGGCTGAGCACCCCCAGCTCCCTCAGTGGTTCCTCACAAGGATTTGTGTTCCAGGCCCCCCACCAGCCTCGGTGCCTCCTCTGGACACGCTCGAGCATCTCAACGTCCTTCCCAAAGTGAGGGGCCCAAGCAGTGATTACAGGGAGGAAGAAGTAATTCTAATATAACTACAGAGGTTTGACTGCAGCAGTGCAATTGTAGCTGGTAGCTAGGAGAGCATTTCTGTTGGAGACAAGCTCCAGTCACAGAAACACAGCCTATAAACATTGCTGACCTCATCCATAGAAATAACTCTGTGTAGTCTCAGGCCAGCGATTCTTTACTTTTACAATTAAAGAACAAGGTTTCATATTTGCACAAATGTGTTCTGGCATCAAACATGGGACATCTGAGGTGGATGAAGCAGGGCTGAGGATGGGCTGCCATAGGGGATCTGTGAGCTCTGCTCGTGGGTGTGTGGGGAAGAGGAGCTGCTGGGTGCTGGGGTGGCTCCTCACCCCACCTCACCTCACCCAGAAACATCTGCGGGTGTTTTACACATTTACAAGATGAGAAAAGAGCCTTATGTTAGCAGCATTCCCAGGATTATCACAACTTAGCCCAGCTGCCAGCACTACCAAAACTTCTTCTCAGCCCTGATCTCTGAACGTACAAACCTCCTGCAAACTCCCAAAGCCAGAGGCCTTGATCCACCTTTAGGCTTGGCACACAAACATCCCAACTCCCCTGAGCTGGGTTATCTCCTCAGCTCTTCTCTGCCAGGAATCCCACGGGAGTGCTCTGCTATCACCCCTGGCACGGGGCACTCTCCGAAGACAAACTCCTGAAGATTCAGCTGGCAGGAAAACACTCCAGCTTGCACACCCAAATCCTCTGTGCCTGGGTCACAAAACAAAGTTTTCACCTCCCTCACACAGTGACAACTCTGTGTTGGCTTTTCCACTAACTAAGGAGTTACTGCCTCCAATTCCAGCCACAGCACAGGCTCCTTCCCCACACCAGGACATAATTCTCCCTACCCTCCCCTGCATTAGGCTTCCATTTGATTTTATCAGCCTCCCTCTAATTGCACAGTCATCAACTGGGAGCCTTCTTTTCTCATTACTGCAAATCATGGTGTTCAAAGGGATAATTCACAGGCTGTGAAGCGAAGCAGTGCATTAAAAAAAGAGAATTATGCACTCCTCTGAATGTTACCACTTCCTTTAGTTCACACAACCAGCCATAGCTGTTAAGATAGAAAGTGCTTATTAAAAAAAACAGGAGGTTGAAAAAGTAAAATTTCTTTCCCTTAATGAAACAGTCCTAGAAAGATCTTTGAAGCTCTTCCCTCACGATTACCTCGTGGTTAATCAGCTGAAGGGCAACATTTTGGAGTAGGGCAAGGAAGGAAAAGCAGGAGAGTAAAATATAAGAAAGTCTTCCTGGAAAAAATAACCAACAAAACAACCATATGGGTGGGATTAAAAGAGGCTGAACACTCCTTTAGCCTGTACAAATGTCCAGGTCCAGGAATGTACAGCTGCAGTGAACAATGGCTCTGCAAATAAATTAACTTGACTCACAGGCACTGATAAGGCCTAACTGCTCCTTTACAGGCTAACTCCTCTAACTCCTTCCAAACGAGATGACTGTAACACAATATTTACCTTATTTCCTTTGCTGGTAAAGGGTCAAACTCAACTCCTTCGCCAAAGGATAAAGGACACAATCTTGGAGGGCAGCTGGAGAGAATGGGGCTGGGGGAGAACACAGAGCTCTGCAAAAGAAATGCAAAATGTTTTATGCTACCATGCTGTTGTACCTTTTATGTCACAATGCAGCACGTTCTCAGGAAAACAGATTCATCTATCACTTGGCATGGAGCTGTTGAGGTTCACACTGACGTGCAGGAGGATCTGCTAGACCAAGATGTGCTACAGGTGCATCCTTGAGGCCTGACTCCACACTGGTGCAAAGCATCCTAGAGGTGGCCAGGAGCATTTTTTGAAGACAAGGTCCTCACTTCAGGAGCTTAATTCAGAGGAGCCACTCTGGGAAATAAATGAGAGAGGAATGCAAGCCCCCTGTGCAGTGCAGTCTGTTTGCTGTATGAACTCAAGCTCAAGTTATAACCAACATTTCAGGGGTGTCTGAGAGCCCTCTCCTTGCTGAATTCACCCCATACACCCACGGACAGACCACGGAGGAAATTATCACAGCCCACCTCGCCGTGAGCCACCTCCCTGCTCCACAGCTACGCCCCGGCTCCTGTTTGAAGGCATTAAATCCAACCTAATTCACACACCGAGTGCTGGGAAGGATTAACTCATTTCGGGTGATTCACTGCCTGTCCCTGTGCTCCTCTCCTGACACCCAGCACCACGAGCTGACACCGAATCCCACAGCCCAAGGAAACCAAAGCAGCCCCGAAGGGACGGAACCCAACCCGTGTGCGGTTTTGAAGCCACCTCTGCACGTGTATTTACTATCGAGGGGCTGTGAGCATCTTTCCCTCCTATGGCCTTTTCCAATTTCACAGCAGCACCCCTATAGAAAAAAAGATTTTTCCTCCAGATCTGCAGTTTCCAAAGTATTTGTACCAGCAGCTCAACACCCAAAAACTATTTGGTGAAAAACCAAATTAACTGCAACCAGAGTTTATGCACGACAAAGTTACTGCTCCGGAATAACGGGAGCTCACTTTCCACGGGGATCTCCAAAGCCGCGCAGCGATGCCGCCCCGGCCGCGACCCGGGTCGGGAGGGAGAGGCGCTCCCCGCGCCGGCAGAGCTTTGTGCAAGCCCCGGCTTCGCGGCGGGACCCTTCCCTGCCGGGGCAGAGCCGCTCCGGCCGGAGGTGTCGCTTGCAGCGGCTGTTCCAGCGCGCCGCCAGGCCGGGCGGACGCGGCTCCCCTCCCTCCCCTCCCGCGGGATGCGCGGGGTCCCGGGCGGAGCAGCGCGGGCCGGGCCGGGCCGGGCCGGGCCGGTACTCACCGCGGCGGAGGGCGCGGGCGGCTCGGGCTCCGCGAGCCCGTTGGCGGCGGCGCGGTCGGGGCTGCCCGAGGGGAGCAGCCAGGGCGGCGGGGCCGGGCCGGGGCTGGGCGGCAGCCCGGAGTCGGGGCTGTCGAGCCCGGAGTCGCCCCGCTTCCTCATGTCCGGGAGGTCGGGCACCTCCCGCAGGCTGAGCCGCCCCACCATGGCCGAGCCGCCGCTGCCCGCCCCGGCCCGGCCGCTGCCCGCGCTGCGCTCCCGGCGCCGGCTGCGCCCGGGCGGCGGCGGGCGGGGCGGGACCGGGGCGGGGCCACGGCCGGGGGGCGTGTCCCGCCCGTGTCCCACCCGTGTCCCACCGGCGTTCCCGTGTCCCACCCGCGTCCCACCCCTGTCCCCGCACCCCACCGGTGTTCCCGTGTCCCTGTATCCCATCCGTGTCTCTGTGTCCCACCCGTGTCCCGGCCGTGTCCCACCTGTGTCCCACTGGCGTTCCTGTGTCCCACCCGCGTCCCACCCGTGTCTCTGTGTCCCACCCGTGTCCCGGCCGTGTCCCACCCGTGTCCCACCGGCGTTCCCGTGTCCCACCCGTGTCCCACCCGTGTCCCACCCGTGTCTCTGTGTCCCACCCGTGTCCCGGCCGTGTCCCACCGGTGTTCCCGTGTCCCACCCGCGTCCCACCCGTGTCCCGGCCATGTCCCACCCGTGTCCCTGCGTCCCACCCGCGTCCCTGTATCCCACCCGTGTCCCGGCCGTGTCCCAGCCGTGTCCCCGCACCCCACCGGTGTTCCCGTGTCCCACCCGTGTCCCACCCGTGTCCCCGCGCCCCACCGGTGTTCCCGTGTCCCACCCGTGTCCCCACGTCCCACCCGTGCCCCCCCTGTGTCCCCGCATCCCACCAGTGTCCCTGTGTGCCACCCATGTTCCCGTGTCCCACCCATGTCCCCACGTCCCACCAGTGTCCCTGTGTCTTGTGTCCCCACGTCCCACTAGTGTCCCTGTATCCCACCCGTATCCCCATGTCTCACCCGCGTCCCTGCATCCCACCCGCGTCCCTGCATCCCACCCCTTTCCCTGTATCCCACCTGTGTCCCACCCATATCCCTATGTCCCACCAGTGTCCCACCTGTGTCCCCCCCGTATTCCTGTGTCTCACCTGCCTCCCCGTGTCCCACCCGTGTCCCTGTATCCCACGGCTGTCCCCGTCCTCCCGCTGTCCCTGCCCTCCCGGTGACCCCAGAATTGGCACTGGAAGGTGGCGGAGTCCCCAGGCCGGACCCAGCGCTCCGGCGTGGCTGACAAGGTGGGGATGGCTCCCGGCTTGGACTCGATGATCTCGGAGGTCTTTTCCACCCTAAATGACTCTGGGATTCTGTGGGACCATGCCCGATGAGCTGCGCTCCCACACACCCCGAGTTCACCATCCCAATGTGCCGCCAGCACGGATTTTGGGCAGCACTGATTTTTGCCAGATGCAGGAGGGCTGCCCCCACCTCCAGTGGTGCTTTCCCCAATAGCAGGGGTCTGCCAAGGGGGTGAAGCCCCCCAGGTCCTCCCTCCAGGCTGCTTCCTCCCTCCCCACTCCCGAGCATTCGGGCTCAGGCAGCAGCACTGCCGCCCCTAATTGCGTTTTCCAGGCAAAGCTGCCGAAGCCGAAACGAGAGAACAGAAGGAAACGCTCTTACTAGCACTACAGGAGAGAGAGGGAACCTTTTTTGGAAAATCCTAATGAAATAATTGCGCCATGTCATCAGATTCGGTGGGGGAATACTCTTGTGGAGGGAAAGCAACTCTGCAGCCGGCCAAAGTCAACACTCCCCTGCACAGAAAGCAGCAGTCTGGGCTGATGGGCCCAGCACTAGTGAACCCAAACCTCTGAAAAAAAATTCCTTCCCTGCCCCAAAATTAAAAGCAGAGCAGAACTTTCAGCCGTAGGCGTCTGTGGTTTGCAGCTATGCGGTGCTGGGAACTCCGGAGACTTCCTCAAGGAATTTACATTCCTTTGAAGAAATACTATGAGGCTGTTTGTCTTTGCTGAAAAATGCAGATGGAAAGAAAAAGAACATTAAGAATTTTGACTGAAATCTTTGGGGTCTGAGCAAATGTGCTGGACAGGTGTTTTCTTCCTTTTAATTTAAATTGATTTCCCTCCTCCCCCCCAAAAGAAAAGAGATGCTGGTCTCTGCAAGCAATGGGAAAACTGATCACTCCTCGCTCCAAAATCACCCATAAAAGCCCTTTATGAAATCAGATGCCTTGGAAGGCACTGGAGCAGTTTCCAGATGAACACAATCATCATTTCAGAGCTGCTGTGCAGCTCCTGGGCGAAAACCCACGCTGCCAACAACCCACTAAGTGCAGATTAGGAGGGGGGAGCTGTGGCACATGCCAGCAGTCACCTCTGAGAGCTGTGGGTGCTCCCACAGCCACTCCCATGGGGATCAGGGTCCAAGAGAGAGGAATCTCAGTGCCTGGGATAAGCAGAGTCCTGGAAATCTTTCTGCTCCTTATTTACCAGCAAAAAAAACCTCCCATTCTGGCGTGGCTTGACACCAAGTAATAATTTTTTGTGCCCTTCCACGTTCTCATTTCTGTGCTTTGCAGCCCACCCAAGGGTGTCCTGCAGCATCGAGATTCAGACCTGCCAATCTGCCTGCTAGGATGAAGTGTTTAAGCAGAATTTTAACTGCTCAATAATTCAAATCCTGTTGAGTCCTGCGTACAGGGGCTCTGCTTTTCAGGACGTGTACTCTGCCCTCTCGGAAAGTCTGACTCTTTTCAAGTCTCAAACTGTACCAACCTGTGCCATCATCCCTGATGGCATTGGAAATCCACATTATTTACTCTTGAACTGCCCACACACAGGCAGGACAAGTCTCTTATCAAGATCCTCCTTCCATAAAGGACTTTCCACCAGGCTGGGCGTGCTCAGCTTAATCAGCAACCGAAGCACAGGCAATGCCACCAGGCGCTGGGAGAGGCAAACCAAAAGGATCCCGTGGCATCTGGAAAGGTTATGGAAAGTTATTTCCAAAGGATGGGAAATGCCAGGCTGTGTCACAGAGGCTCGCTGGGATCGAGGGCAAGGACGAGCGCTGACAGCTGCTGAGGTTTCATCAGCTTTTACAGCCCTGCTGCCACCGCCCTCGTGGAGCCAAGCAGAGGCTCGTGGAGGTTTGGACATCGTCACTTGGATGCTCAGAGTCCTGGCTGTAAATGTGGGGGAAGAAAGGAACACCCAGCGCCCGGCCAGGCTGCTCCTGCCCAAGGGCGGAGGGGGCAGGACCGCCAGGAGAAAAGCAAATGAGTCATTCATTCTCCCAGCGAAAGGAACTGCTCCAGCGTCATGCAGAGCGTGGAGAAAGGCACTACCCCTTAATTAATTTCAAAGGAAAAATTAGGATCTCTCAGAAATTGCTCCCGCAGTGGCAGACAGCGGCAACGATGTGATTATTTAGGGGCACGAGGTCGAGCCACCCACGCGGCGCGGGGAGCTGCCGTGAACGTAGATGCTGCCAGAGAAGGTGGAAAAGGCAGAGAGGAGCTGCAGGAGCAGATGGACAGCAGGGAGTGCTGGGTCCAGCACATTTTGGGTGAGGTCCATCCTGGCCACTGGGATTTGCAGCTGTACAGAAAACACCCAGCAATGAGCATCAGTAACCATTTAATTCACGTTAGTGTCACACCCCACGTACAGCCAGAATTACACCCCGGCCCAAAACCATAAAAAGTGGCATTTTGTACAGAAAACACATAATCATCCTTTATTCCCCAAAGCTGTAAACTCCAAAGAGCTAATCCACAAATAGAGACCTGCCAAATCTAATAAACACCCAAGAGCCAGGGGCACAAAACTCTTACACCAGAAGTTGGAAACTATGGATTTGCTCTCTGAAAGTGGAACTCCAAACACTCAGCCCTGTAGCATTCTTCAAAGGCTGAAACTAAAAATTAATTTCTCCTTTTATTTCCTCTTATCTACAGAATGAAATGCAGAGAATGAAATGGGGGAAGCCTTTGGGTAAGACACACAATGATAACTTCAACATCGTCTTCAGCTATTCATAATTTAGTGAGAGACTTAGCCTTAGACAAAGCAAAGAAAAATTCATCTAAAATAAATTATTCATCCCCTCATGGGAATAATGAATCTCTGCAAACCCATGTTGTCTCCTCTCCAGCTCTGCAGTGTGGTAACTCGTGAGCAATCCTGCACATACACCTTGAGATAATCTGTCCTCAGGGAACGGCTGCTCAGAATCCCAATGTGCTTTCAACCATTCCTTCTTCTGTCACCTAACAGGGAATCAGGAGAGGAAGTAAATGAGGCAACAGCAGATTTGGAAAACTGGAAATAAGAAATTGCTGTCCCTCCCCACAGGTGTTGTTATTGCTGCTCTTCACTCCCCGTTCCCAGTGAAGCTCTGGATGGAGCTCATGTTTCTGATCTCCCCTCCCTGATGTGAACTTTACAATCCCTGTGAGTACAGCCCCTAAATAAATACAGTCCTAAGGCCCAAACTTGCCCTGGTGGGGAGCATGACCCTCCCAGGAAGGCATCTGACAGCATGGTTGTTCCTCACCTGCCACACTGGTACAGGACGCAAGTGAAGCTGGAGTTAAATAACACAGGCACCACTGGTTGATCTGCCCTACACCCACTCAGGGTTGGGCATGTGCCTTCAAAGTCTCCCAGAGAGGGTACAGAGGAGTTTGGGAAGAAATCCAGCAGTGCTAATGACAAGGTGAGGCCTCAGTGCATGGAAACTCCTCGGGGAAGCCTCCACTGATCCCAACCCTGCTCCAGCTGGCTCTGTGCCTGGGAGCCAGGAGCTGGGCCATGGCAAGAGGGGTCTGGGTTATCCAAAAATATTTCACTGCTGGTCCTCCTCTCCTCTGCCCTGCTGCAAGCTGAGGCTCAGAGGAACAAGAGGAGGAGGAGGGCCTTGAAGCCTGAGGCTGCTGAAAGCCTCCTGTGCCACCACATGGCCATGGCTCCCTGACCGAGCCAACATTTCCAGCACCTCTCCTTGCAGGGCAGCAGAGGTGCCAAGGTGGCACATCCCTGCTTGGGACACTCCAGCTGGAGTGAGAATGAGGGGCTGGAGCAGTCTGACACTCGCTCCATGAAGGGCTCTTTGTGGAGAGAGGGAGAGATGCTGGCCAGGAAGGATGGGAACTCCCACTGGGGACAGTGGGCGAGCCCAGCA